GAATTGAGGCAGTTCTGAAGGCAAAAGGGGGTCCAACCCGTTACTAGCGTGGTGTACCTAATAAAGTGGCCTGTGAGTGTGTATTGTGACTCATTTTGCAGGACTGGTCACATTTTTAAATAAATGTCTTCTTACAGTTGGTATAAAGTATTGTGCAAAAATCCAGACATTCTATAAAACTTCTGAAGTAGTCTAACCTCTTTGTTATTAGCTTTAGTTGTATTTTAGGGTAATTTTATCTAAGCTGTGACTTATGCAGGTGTACAAATGCACCTGAAGGGATGAAACAGTGAGTCTAAAAACAAGAGAAAACTTTGCAAAGCAACCATTTTAAATAAAGGTTTCAAAGCGCTTTGTTACCTGCAGACTGTCTCTGAGCTGATGAACATCTTATTATTTGCTTTGACAAACAGATGACATCATCATGGTCGACCTTTCATTGACTGCAGCTCCCGTCGACCTAAGTTAGATTAATCTAACATCAACTAGTCTAACAGCGGTAAAATATCAAAGAAAGCAGAAAACACTAAACTGTAGTTGTGTGCTGAAACGGTGTAGTCGTTGTTGTTGTTGTTGTTTACCCGATAATAAGTAGTCCACTCTCCAGTCTTTTCCTCAGCTCCAAGAAGAGTCCAACTCCTTGTGTTTTGGCTGACATCCTCTCCGTCATTCGACACACCGGAAGCTCAACAAAGAATTATTCAATAACCCGTTCATTAAACTAACAAGAAAAAAAAAACAACAAAGTTCATTAAATTATGCTGAGTGTCGATACGGACTCTCACGTTCTCACTGCCACATGTGACAACAGCGCATGCGTGAGTACTACCGTACGGAAACACAACATCCGGTTCTTCTTCTTCTATTTTTAAAATGGCGGTTGGCAAACAACTTTTAGGTGCATTACCGCCACCTGTCAGCTTGGAGTGTGGATCAAATGTTCAATTTCCTATTTTCTACCCAAAAAAACTAAAAATGCTGCTAAAACTATACCCCCAATTAATCTTTGAAACAATATCTAAATTTCTAATTAATTAGAA